CAAGCTTCCGACAGATACTCCGAAGCTCTGCTTCCTGCTGCCCCCCCCCCCCCCCCCCCTATCCCGAGACATCAGAGCGCGCGGCAACTTCAAGGCGATCGCTACGCGGCTCCACCACCCCGCTGTGTAGCTGGAGCACCGAGGCTTGTGAAGTCCAGGCCCCCTCACTTCTGCCTCTTTGAGCTGGCATGGGAGCGCGCGGCCACGAAACCTAGAGGCTTCGCGCCCCATCTGGCACGCTCGACAATGGAACTGCCTTACGCGGTGCACCAGCGCACTGCGCTGTCGTCCCAGCTCCGTCGCAGGGCCAGGTGCCGCGGTGCACGACGCCACGACGCGCTCATCTTCGCGCACTCTGGCACCCCCCCTGGCAGAAACAAGGCAACACTTCGCTAGCAATTTGGACCCAGAGATCATCTCGCATCTCCGTGGGGGTCCCCGCTGCTGGTTGCTGCGTGGGCTGTTGCTGCTGAGGAGGAGGGTCCGAGGTGGGTGGGTGGGTGGGCGCGCGCGCGGGTGCGTGCGCCGGGGGGGGGAGGGGGAAAGGGGGGGGGCGGGCGGGGGGGGGGGGCGGTGGTGGCGGCGGCGGCGGTGGCGTGGGGGGGCGGGGGGGGGGGGGGCAGCAGTTCCGAGGCCGTCCGCCTCCACCTCCTCAGGTGGCCCAAGCTCGGCTTGCTCTTGCGGAGGCTCAAGGCACGCGTGCTCACCAAAACTCCCAGCCTCCTCTTCCTCCTCCAAAAGAGGGTCAGCCTCGGGGTCGCCCAGACCCCTGGTCGCAGGAAAACCAACCCATCCCGTGGGTCCGAGGGCCACCCAACGCCGATTTATAACGGCCTGCCCCCGCTCCAGCCCACGGAGCTGCGCCCTCTCTTTTTTTCGCTGGGGTCGGAGGAGGCGGGGGCGGTGGCGCCAGCGGAGGAAGGGGGGGGTCGCTTTGTTTGCCCCGCGGCGGCTGCTAGGCTCAGGCTGCCTCGGCGGCCTCTTTGGATGCTTGAACGGGGCAGGCATGCGCAGCGGGCGGATTAGCGCAGGCACCGCTGTAGCTCGGAGCGAGAGGACCTGGCCGACGTGAGGCTTCCACGGGGCAAGCGCAGACTGCAGGCCCACGAACAGGTATTGCGCGCCAGGGCCCAGCAGGACGTAGTCAATCAGAGGGGGCTCGCAATCTGCTTTGAAGCAAGTGAAACCGTCAGCAATGGGGGCGATCTGGCCTCCAAGCCGCTGGTCCCAACCAGACTTCTTGAAGGCCTCGGGCGAGGCGTTGAAATCGCCCGCTGCTACCCACGGGTTACGCAGCGAACTAACAAAGGCCCCAGTGGACGCGAGCTCGCGGGCGTTGCTGCCCGGAAAGCAATTCGAGCCCTCGAGGCAACGGCATATGAGAGCGACTGTCGCTCCCTTGAGGTGCCGGGAGATCGGCGCCCAGTCATGGAACTCACAAGAGGCAGCTCGCGAGGCGCCTGCGACTGTGGTGCTAGACGACGCACAGCCCCCCCTCGCGAGCTCCCTGAAAGCCGCGGTCTGGTGGCGAGACCGCACGGCCACGCAAACTCCACCCAGGGGTCCTGCATCTGAGCGATCACTCCGGCGCGCTGCCGAGAACGCCGCCTTCCAGCCCCAGCCGATCAGCGCGCGCTCGGCCCCAGGAAGCCCGGCGGCTTTCGCGCGTGTTTCCTGCAGCAGGAGGGCGTCCAGCGAGTTAAGCTTAGAAGACTGTCGAACGAACTTCATGGCCGTAGGCCCCCAAGTCGAAATGTTGCCCCCCCCCCAAAAAAAAAAACAAAAAAAAACATGCCTGGGCGGGCGGCGCTCGGAATCGCTGCGCCGTCGCCCAGGTCCCCCTTTCTTTCGCTCGGGGACTGGCCCCCCCTCAGCACTAGCGTCCTGATTGCGAGGGTGTGCGGGGAGCTTCTCCCTCGCACCTGCCGCCTCCGCCGCCTTGGCCGCCTTCTCAGCCGTCGCCGCCGCTGCCGGCGCCGCCTCCGCTCTCGCCGCCGCCGTCGCAGCGGGGGCGCTGCCGCGTGACGGGGGCGCGGGCGCTGCCGCGCTGACGGGGGCGCTCGGCGCTGGCGCCGCGGGGCCTCCTGGCCCGCCCGCGGGGGGCCCCATCGCCCTCCTTGGGGGTGGGGGGCCTCGGCGTCGGCCTTCCTCTTCTTGGCCGCCTGGACCCGCGTGGCCTCATCCTCCGCCGCCTTGGCCTTGGCCACGTCCCAGTGGGCGCGCTGGTCCTGCAAGGACTCCGCGGTCTTGCCCTTCAGCTCGTTGACCATGTTCTGCTTGGCCCTCTCGGCCTGCTGCGCGGCCTGAAGCCCGACCTCCTCCTGCTCCACGGCGTAGGCTTCGCCGAAGCTCGACATAGCCTGCATCGCCGAGAGGTCCTCCTCCGTGAGCGCCATCAGGCCCTGGAGCAGGTTCCTATGTTGTGCACCCTCCTGCGCGATCTGCTCTAAAAACTTCTCCGCTTTGACGACCGCGCGGCCCTTGTCCTGGAGGTCATTCTCGCACTGGTGCAGGCGCTCCTTCGCCTTCTCGCAGGCGTCGTAGGCACGGACGTAGACTTTAATGGCCTCCTCCAGCTCCTTCAACGCCTCCGCCAGCCTCGACGCCTTGCTCCGAGGCGGAGCCGCAGCGGAGGTGGCCTGGGAGATGGCACCGACGGCGCCCGACAACTGCTGCGCAATCTCGGGCTTCACATTCAGGGTCGCGATGTGCTTCGCCACCTGGGCAAGGGCATCCTCCAGCGACGCGCTGAAACCCTGGCCCGTGGCGCCGCCGCCGCCGCCGCCCGCGCCGCCGCCTGGCTTTTTACTGGCGCCCTTGCGGGAGACCTGGGCCCCGCAACCGCACCAGAAGTCCTTTTTCTGCCAGCTATCTTCCCAATCCCAGGCCTGGCACGTCTTGCAGCTGATCCAGGCTCCCTGCTTGTTGTTGTGTTGTTGCCTGAACATGCCACAGCCGTGGTGCGCCAGGAACGTCGCCGACGCCGCCGCAAGCACTCTGCGCATCTCGCCTCGGCGCAGGCGGAGCCGCCTATGCCACGCAGGCTCTGGCTCGGACGTGGGAAGAAGGAGTGCGACGCCGACCTCTGGGGTCGTGCGCCTAGGGTGGCCTCCACTCGGAGCCTCTGCAAAATGCGGGGTCGAGAATGGGCCAACGCCTGGGAGGAGGGAGGAGGAACAGGAGGAGGAGGAGGAGGACGAGGAGGGGGAGGAAGGGGAGGAACTGCATGGAAAGACGATGTAAACCTGCCATGTGGATCGGCCTCACCTCGCACAGCCGGCGCCGCTTCTCCTGCCAAACCTTTCGCGGCTGCGCCTCTGAAAGTCCGCGAGGACTCTCCACGATAAGACGCGGCATCACCCAACCTTCTCCCGTCCCGCTTCTCCTACTGCTTTTACCCACGCACCCTGTTTTGTGAGACGCTCCCCGAGGATGCAGACGTGGCCTCCTCCGCCGCTCTTGTTCCTCCCGCTTGATATGATCCTCCCTCCTCCCCTACTTCCTGCAATATGTTCTTCCTGCTCCCTCCCTCCACCTGTTCTTCCTTTACCTTCTCCTCCCCCTCCCTGCGGAGCCCCCTCCTTCTGCTGATCCTCTTCCTCCCCTTTCGCCATCATTCCCTGGTCCGAGCGCGGGTCCTCCCAATGCAGTCTGAATGGGAGCCCACGACGCAATTCCACACCGCCCCCTCGAACGGGGCACCTCCCCCAGGAGAGACACGCAAAGTGACGGTCATCCTACCCCACCCCATCATCAATCGTTCCTCCTCCTGAGCACTTGTCATCCTCCTCCATCCCTTTTCCTCATGACTAGCTCCTCCCTGTCGCACCCCCAGATGTGTCGGTAGGGCGGGCGGGGCGTTTCTCCTTAGACTTTCTCTCACGAGTTGTGATTCTGAAACTAGAAGTTTGAACAGCTTCACTGATGAAGGGAGTGTACCTTCCAGAGTGTGGCTCTCGCCCTACCGCCGCGCAGTCGCTGTAAAGCTTGCAACCGTTTGAAGGCTGGAGGGCAGGGAGTTATCAATATGTGGCTCTCGCCCTGGCGCCGCGCTCATTCGTCTTACAAGTTTGCAGCAATTTCCACGATGGAAAGCCGCTCACATTCCTCTTGGAAGTCTGCAGCAGCTTAAAGGATTCGTACGGTTGAAGTCCCAGGACTTGCGTTTTGGCGCTATTCAGGACGCAGCAGTCACGTTGAATCGCAGAGTTGAAGCCCCAGTACTGAGATTATGACACGACTTAGAACTGTCAGGACGCAACAATAACGTTCAGTCGCGGCGCTGAAGTCCCAGAAACGGTGTCTAGGCACGGTTGAGAATTCTCAGACGGTTGTCTTCCAATTGAACACCTTCCGACATGCAAATAATGTTTTGTAGAGAGCTGTGAAGACGCAACTTGAAGGGACGGCTCATGTATTGCAACATCGTTGATGCGCCTTGAATTTATACTGGTTCTCCTCGGAGATCTACTGGCCCGGCTCAATTCAAACCTGGGTCAGTCGGGATTTACAGGATCCTGCGAGTTTCTGCAGGATCGTGCAGGCTCCTGCGCGCTAGCCCAGGTCAGCGCACCCCTGGCTCTGCAAGATCCTGCAAGATCCGGCGCCCTGGCTGACCCCCGTCTGCTTTGACCCCCGCCTCAAGGCTCCCCAACCGGTCCTCCTCCTCCTCCTTCTCCTCCTCCTCCTTCTCCTCCTCCTCCTCCAGTCCAACAACCACCTCCTCCACATTGAGGGGCGCGCAAACATGGATTAGCGATCCATGGATTTGGCGCGCGGTGGCCAAATCCATGGATCGGGGGAGGTGCCCTCCCCAACATGCAGCCAGTGCTGCCTCGTTCAGCGGCGGAAGCCCGCGATTTCCCATGGAAACGGGACCCGTCGCTAATTCACGCCCCATTGATCCATGCTTGCGATCGCCTGGAGAATGCAGACTAACGCCCCCTCGGCCGCCCAACTCCGCCTTGGCCCTCCCGCCACCTGCTCTCCCCGGGCAACGCCTCGTCGACAGCTGCGCTCCCTGCTGCGGCGCGGGCTGGGGCGAGGGCTGCCGGGAGGCAGCCATGCTGTCGGCGACTGCGGGTCCGCCAGGGGCCATCATACCCCAAGAGGGTGAGGATGGAAGAGGAATCTGAGGAGGATGAGGATGAGGCAGGGGGATGGGGCAGGGGAAGGGGGAAAAGGGAGGAGGGACGAGGAAGGAGGAGGAGAAAGAGGAGGAGTGACGAGGAAGGAGGAGGAGACGGAGCAGGAGGAGAAGGGCGAGCAGAATGGCCAGAGGCATCTTGGACGAACTGCCGACTGAGGGAGGGATGTCCGGGTCAGAGACATAGAGAGAAGGAAAAAGGAGGGTGGGGACATCCGTCCGACGAGGTGTGCTCGGAGCAGCATTGTCCTCCCGCCTGGGTCACTTCGACAGGCGGTGGACCACCGACAGGACGCTCACCCCCTCCCCGCCTGGGTGGGCAGGTGGAGGAACGATGGGAAGGCACTGAAGGACGGAGGAGAAGAGGGGACTGGACTGTGGACTCTGCGCAGGGGGCTCGAGAGCGGATGTCTTGGAGCCGCCCACCTCGCCCGCGGGGGAGGAGAGGAGTGGGAGGGCGGCCGGTCCCACGGCCGCTTTCGGGAGGGGAGGAGTTCTCGCGTCTGGACGAGTGGGGAAAGGCCAATCTGGACATCGCCCGATTGATACGAGCGAGCGGTGAACAGATTGGCCGTGCGTGCAGACGTCGGGTTACTGCTGATGGCCTGGCCTTGTCTTCGCGACTGCCGCCAAGCGTGTGGGGCTGGGCACCCCGTGTGGGGTACCAATTAACCTTCCAAACATACTCCCGTGATACGAACAAACCTCGAGCTTCACGGGGAACCTCCACACACACACACGGCCGCGACCGTCGCCGCACCGTGGTGCCGTTCTGCAAACAATCGAGTCGCGGGCACGGGCGGGAATTGCACGGAAAGAAGCGGGCCGTCGTCCCCCTTCAGCATTGTATTGACCCGGTCGACGAGCTTCTCCAAAGAATCCTGCAGCGCGTCGCTCTAAGCGTTCTGAAAACAATCACCGTATGAGAGAGAACTTCACATACACAAAAAAACAGACCGATGCAAAAGTCAAAGGCCATGGCAAGGCCAATACTGAAGCCAATGCATGGCTGAGGAGGTGGTATTCAATACAAGACCAGGCACGCGCACGACAGAGCAAGCCAATAGAAGGCAGTACGAGGCAAGAAGTCGAACGCCACGACAAAGCAATGACAGAGAAACCAGGGTTAGGTTCGGCAGTAGCGACTACAGGCGGTCCACTGCCATATCGCGCGACGAAACTCAAAGTCTAAAACAACTTCGTGAAATCTATCAGCCAACACCTGCAAACATCTCAAGCTCTGAACAAACAACTTCCAAACATCTCTAACACAACACCTGCGAACATCTCGAACTCTAAAAAACATACAAAACAATCTAAACAAAAACCAACGAGAATATCAAACACTTTTCGTTTAAGAACAACTTCAAAACAACTCTAAGACGGAACCTAGGATCATATCAAACTTTCAAACAAAACTTGAAACCGGAATTCTAAACCAATTCAAACCAACTATGCAAACACTGTAGAACAAAATAACTCTAAACAACCTAAACGCCTAGAAAACTCTAAAGCAACTTGGTAAACCATATCACAAGTCTAAACGCCTGAAAACTCAAAAAATAGCTAATCAACGTTAGAACACCTTTTACACGTCTAAAAACAAATGTAAACAAATGTCTGACCGCCTGACGAACTCCGAAAAACTTTGGGACAACTCTAAAAGCTCTACATGCAAACCCCGGCGGCCTAGGAACCTTTACAAGACCAACTTCCAACACACCTCTAAAATCAATCTGGCCGCCCACGCATCAAGCATCTGTTGTTCAATATCTCTGCTTCAAGTGTTTCTGGAGTTTCGGTTTCAAGTCTATTTCGGGTTGAGAATTTCCGAGGTGTTGGCTTTGAGTTTTCTTTTTAGTTTTTATAGGTGCTTGATTTTCGCAAGTCTTGGCTTGGAGATGTTTTTGAAGATTTTGGGGAGGATGAGTTTCCTGCTGAAGATTGTCCGAAGATTTCGGCTGGTTTTCTCGATGGACCTCCTGTAGCATAATTGCAGAACCTAAAACCAGGACACGATAAGACAAGAGAGAGGGGACGACCTAAACTGACATGACAATGGACAACGTGACAACTGCAAGACAGAGGGAGGCTGAGGCAAGATAGGCGGACAGGCTGGGCGGGAGCCGGGGCTAGGAATCATCCAGGCACGCAGACACAGTCGGACGCAGGCAGGCAGGCAGGCCGACACGGTCAATCGCAACAGGGAGGCGGCGGCGGCGGCAGGGAAGGGGATGGAGGGGCACGGCAAGAACAAAGGAGCCAAGACACCATCGTGCAGGCAGGCGCGCACATGCCGATGAGTTGCAGGAGGCCAGGCGGAGGTTGCTCGTGCCTCTCCTGCTGCAGCGCACCAGGTGCCAAAAATGCTGCGCGAGCTGCGAGAGGCGCTGCAAGGAACGGGAAGATGCCAAGAGCTGCAGAGCCATTCGAGGACCTCACACGTGGCAGGACCGCAGAGAGGGGCCCTCGAAAGCCCCATTGGCTCCCGCGCCCTCGGCCCCAGGACCCTCGGACAGCTCCTCCGAATACCAGGCGCGGCGGCGAGCGAGGGAGGGGACGTGAGAAGAGAAATTGCCCTCTGAACAGGCGGCGGGGCTCCTCAGCTGCCTTCCGGCCTTCTGAGAGACTTCCTGTGTCTTCGGGGAAGGCTTAGAGAACTTCTCAGAAGGCCAGGGGACTTCCGAGCCTTGACCTGAGAAGGCCAGCCCCGTCCCACTTCCCCCCCCCCGGCGCGCCGCCGACGGGAGCGGCTCGGAAAGCAGTCACGCGCCAACGTCAAAGGCGGACAGAGGAACCGCGCAGCCCCGACGCCTGCGCCAGCCCGCGTCAAGACCTCGCTCGCCGATCGGCGACTTGGAGCATCGCCTCGGCGCGTCAGTGCGCCAGTGCCCCTGGGGCTCTTTCGTGGCGCCTTCCCCGGCAGGCGCTCGAGGACGGGCGGCCTCTCTCGGGGGTTGCTAAAGGTACCCCTGGCCCAAGGTGTCCCCCTTCCTTCCTCCCTCCTCCTCCTCCTCCTCCCTCTCCTCCTCCCCCTCCTCCTCCTCCTGCTCCTCCTCCTCCTCCCCCTCCTCCTCCTCTTCCTACTCCTACTCCTACTCCTCCTCCTCCTCCTCCTCCTCCTCCTCCTCCTCCTCCTCCTCCTCCTCCTCCTCCTCCTCCTCCTCCTCCTCCTCCGCCTCCCTCTGGGCCTGACGAGGGGTGCACTGGAAGGCCATGGTAGCAAATCCTGGGGGCACATGGGGCCGGGAGCATTTCTATCAACACCCGGCTTGCAAAGAAGAGACAGCTGCACAAACATAAATTGTGGGAGCGCCGCGCGAACTTCCTGCATCGGCGCTCTGGGTCCCCCTGGAAGGCGCCTCTGGCGCCGCTTCTGGCGCGCCAGGGAGAAGGGCCCAGCACCGATTCAAGATCTGCACGCGGAGCCCGAAACATTTATGCTACATGTGTGCATGCATGCGCGTATAGCTACACATACATGTAACTTTATTTCGGTTATATATAAACATGTGTACACACACCAATGTAAGATATATATATATATATATATATATATATATATATATCCGTACATATATATACATGTATATATACATATACATCCACATATGTATATATGTATATATATATATAACCACACATATATGTATATATACACATATATAGAGGTATAAACATGAATGGAAAGACATGTAGATAGGACGTACACCCCCGTATGTGCACATATATGATCTGCGACATCGTCCTGGAGGTCCTCCAAAAACCCTGCTGGGGGCCTTGGGGTCACAGGTCAAGCGGGGTGAGCCTGAGGCGAGGTGAGCAGGGAGGCTGCGGGAGAAAGTGAAGCGGGGGTCCCCCCCCCTGGCGCCAGGTAGCATCCTGCAGTGAGGAAGGTCTACTCGCAGGTAAACTTGTGGCCAGAAATTCACGAACATCAGAAATCCACGAACATCATGTTTCCATTGTCTACTCAAAAATTGGAACAGTCATTCCCAACCTTCCTGTTTTGTGTTCTCGCGTTGAGTAGAACACTGCGGTAACACGCTCCTTCTCCCGTTTCCCTCCTGCCCCAATCGGCTAAATAATTCTTGCTGGAGAAGCCAGATCCATGGCGGGGGCCCCGCATCTCATTGAAGCCATTGACGCCCCCGCTGGCTCTAGCCCTTCGTTCATCATCCCACGGCTGTCCCAGTCGGGGCGGATCGCAACCAAGAGGAAATCTCACCTGCGTGTCTGAACAGTTGCACGTTTACTCCTTGGGGGAGGCCCCCCCCCACTTGCCACCTCTTGAGGCGTGTAGAATGCATGACACACAGCTGTCTGGGGCCAGCAATGGATCCGGGCGGCCCATGGGCGGAGTCTCGTTCTGCGTGTATAACCCGCTGAGCGCGAACAAGACCCGCTCCCAGGACGTGATCGAGGAGCTGAACAACATAGACTTCGTGTTCCTCATAGGAACCCAGAGGAGGACCAGCGGGGAAACGCTGGAACCCATCGCCACCACCAGAACACATTGGGCACTCGAGTGGGGGTGGCACAGTAGTCAGCATGTCTACAAAAGTTGTGGACTGAGTGTTTGGATTCATAGTCGACGGTATCCTAGGTGTTGCTTAAGAGGCTTTTTTATCAGTACCGAAAGGTTTGAGAGGACGAGTGGCAGCATGTAAGTTGGAAAGAGGTTATTTTCGAGTGTTGCTGCTCGCACTATACTTCCCCCCGTGCCCCAGCCGAGGACGAGCACAACGAGAAGCTTGGGATATAACTATTCGTACAATGGTGACGTGGCTGACGGATGTACTGGCGGCAACCTCAGCAAGATGGTCACCTGTCATATGCACACACATGAACGGGCAGTTCAGCCATGTCGAAGGTGTAACGGGCACACAGAATTTGGGGCCCTTCAACTTCACGACAGAGCAGGTCGCCCCACTGCTCGCGGCACACCAATTGGCCGTGGCCAATACGAATTTTGCGCGGGGAAACCCAACATATTTCAACAAGGGAGTCACAAAGACACTGGACTACCTAATAGGTCCGAGAGCATGGATGACGGCAGCCAGATGGTGTCGGACGTTACTGGCGAGCGCGTGGAGACTCCAGGTCCACAACGCAGCGGTATATGGGACCACGTCCCTGTGGCGGCCAGCTTCGAGATGGACGTGGTGGCCGAGCCGTATAGAGAGATGAAGTACAAGCGCGTGAAGTTGGATAGGGAGAGTATTGCGAAGATGCAGCAGCTCGGCGACAACCGACGAGCTTTTGCGCAACATGAGGAGTCTGAACTAAGTCAGCAGCGAGAACAACTTACGGCGCAGCCGTTGGAAGACACACCAGATTTTGTGAATTCGACGACCCACAATAAGACCGAGAATGCGGCTACCAAGTTTTGCACGACGACCAGAGGTTACACGGAGGACCACAAAGCACATGCGAGAGGGGTCCGACGTATGTTATGGGAACGGCGTAGTCTGCGGACGGAGTTCCAGTACCTATGTGGAGTGGGTGAGGACGAGGTTTACGACGCTTCTACCGAGGTTAGCTATGACCGTGAGATGGCCGAGCTGCAGCTGACGATCAGAATACGGCGTCTCAGCAAATGGCTACGGCAACAGAGGCAAAAGTACTGGCAAGAGATCGAGACACTACGATGCGACGAGTTCATGAGAGCAGTGAAGACGAACGACTTCTACACGGTCCACAAGATGGCGAGAACGCTGGCACAGAGGAGAAGAGGAGGACGGACACGAGTATATGGTCGACATCATGCGTCGGGCACGAACGACGAGTGGGTTGAGAAGATGAAGCGACCAGGCCCCGCAGGGGGATGCTCGGCTACCGAGGCGACGGCGGATGATATTCAAGTGCGACGGGGAAGAGTTGTACGCCAGGAGGTCACGGGCGAGGAGATAAATGAGGAGATGAAGGGCATAAAGAAAGCAATATGGAAAGCACGTACTTGGAGGAGTTATCCTATCTGGAGTTCGAGTGTTGAAGTATTGAGATGTATGTGCTTGTTGTTCCGCATTGGGTTAATGAAAGGATGACGGCCAGGACTACTGGCCTTGGACACGAGAATGAGGTTGAGAATTTATGTACACTCAACTTCTATGTGTATGTGAGGAGGATGGTCGAGGCGATATTGATCACGCAGGGATTTCCCCTCGACTGGCTGAGGGCGAAGGCCGCCAAGATCAGCAAGGGCAATGAGAAGGAGGGAGTGGATGGTGAAAGAGTGGTTATGATTATATGCAGTATGAAAATCTTATTACAGCCAGATTCTAATGAGTACGGACGCCACAGGAATATCATCCTGGGCGTACGGTGCAATCAAGCACCGCAGGCGCGAGCGCGCCGTGGTGGTACAGCTATGTGGGGCATGGGGGCCAACGGCAGCGGGAATGCAGCATGCGAAGAGGCTCCACGATGCTGCAAACGCATGGTTTCTGTTGGTAAGCGGTTGCAGGTGGTGCATGAAAAAAATGAAGCATGAGCATACCACAATGATGATTGATCGAGTCCAGTGCGCGCACTTCGTGTTCTCTGACTCCACCGAAAATATGATGTTAATGGGTGAAGGATGTATGCCAAGTGATCCAGCTATGGTTGTCTTGTTTGTGTTGGCGTATATAAGGGGGCTCGAAGAACACGCATTGAAAACGATAATATTGATGGAGGCCACCTCACCTTGGACGGGAAAAAAGGAGCAGGCGGGAATGGGTTCGTTTGTTGATGATATCGCAGATACGCTCAGTTTTAAGAACCAGGTGGAGGCGGAGGCGGAGGGACAGAAACCAAATAAGGAGAGTTATCCGAGGCGCTGAGAAAAATGTGACTGGCTCAGAATATATCAAAGCAAGAGGCAATACCGTATTGTTGTGGCAAAGGAGCATCTGATCTGGAAAAAATGATATTATCTGATTGCGTGCTGGATGGGCACGCGGCAGCAGCAGCGAGGTATATAGGCGTCCGAATGACAACGAGATTTTCAGTGCAGATCGAGATGAGGTACCGTATTCGGGCAGGAAAAGCAGCGTGGGCCTCCATGGGCAATTTCTGGACTTCTAGAGTTTCTCAGAGATGGAACATATCCATATATAAGGGGTATGCCGTCAACGCGATCCTCTCGGACATCGAGACGTTCGTGAAGCCCCAGGGGCCCATGAAGGTGCAGGACTTTGCGGGGCTCGAGGGCTACGTCGCTAGGAGAGGGCGAGTTGTCTTGGGAGGAGTGGCGTGTACGAGGGAGGACGGGTCCAAGAGGGCCCCCAGAAATCTGGAGGTGTTGGCCAGACTAGGATCGGCGAGCATATTCGTGGAGGCCCGTATTCGGAGGCTGAAGTGGTTGCAAAGTTTGCTGGCGGACCTCGAGTCGGCCGATCAGCTATTGGGGGTGGTGTTCGGGAGCCTCAAGTGCGGGAACATCGAAAAGCCGTCGTTCCAGGACCCCGAGGCAAAGATCAACCCGTGGGCCCAGCAGTGGCTCCAGGACGTCCAGGAGTTGGCGACCTACGAGGACGGGGAGGTTTTTTTGGAATACTATGATCATGATCCAGTAAGGGCCGTCACAGAGGGGAGGGAAGAGTTTATCAAGCTCAACTTCACGGGCATGCGCGCGCATTATATACATCACCGAGCCGAGCATGAACCCCAGCACGTACGGAGCCTTGAGGGTGGAGAGTTTCAGTGTTGGGCGGAGGATGAAGGAGGGCGGCCTTGTCTAGCACGATTTCCAGACAGAACGAGATTGGCGTCCCACTATGTACACACGAAAGGTGGCACGCACGGCAAAATAATAGTATTCAGAGTTGCGTGTTTCAGCAACATGTGTACGATATGCGGCACGATGTTCACGACGCACGCGCAGGCGCAGAAGCACATGCTGAAGGCATTCGAGAGAGGCTTGTGTGTTGACCGTGCACGATCTGGAAATGAGGTGAGAATGGTGGTTTCCTACTGTCGACTGTGCGAGTACGTAGCGGATGAGGCCCAAGAGTTGCGCCAACATATTTTGCATCGTCACCTCAGCCAGTATATTCAGCAGCATCATATTGAGTTCGATGGCATGGCTCCTCCAGAAGTCTGGGCCGCAAGAGGGGACGACGCAGCCGCCGGGGAAAAAAGTCAAGAGTACGGAGTCCGAGGAAGTTCTCACACGACGGCTGGCGGTGCAGTTGGAGGCCACGGTCAGAACGCTCGAGTACACGCAGACCGTCCAGATCTTTCTGCCGCACGATCATCCACTGATCGAGGACGGCCGCAAAACATATCAGAAGTACCTAGACACAGTCAAAGCAGAGGGCCCGCAACACGAGAGGGGGCCCCCAGAGTTGCAGATTTTCAGGTCGAATATATCCGTTATCGCGAGCTGGTTGATCGAGGGCACATCAAGCCCAGCCATGAAGAGATTCAAGGGGGTCCCCGAGAGGCTGCTGCAGATGTTGGCCCACACAGACGGAATAGGAGCCAGCGAGTGGGTCAAGGAGTACACGTTCTCGCCGACGTACGATCAAAAAAAGACGAGGATCACGGTCACCCTCCTCGGGCAGCTGCTGGTCGGAGTGACTCCAGAGTCGGCAGAGACCCTGCTCAAGAAGCAGACGGACGCCTGGGGAGGCGCCGCGACGGACCCCACGTTCGACGCCAAGCTCCAGAGGAATCCGCTCGAGGTCATCCCGATCCCCAGCGGAACCAAGTGCATGAATCTCAACAGCATCGTGAGCCACATCCTGAGGGAGTGGGGAGGCGCCCGCAAGCCAGGCCGCGCGCCCCGAGGCGAGATGGCCAAGATCTTGCAGGGCAAGAAGTAGGGTACTCGAGCGAGGCCCCGCGGCCAGCGCGGGCCGCCAGCGAGCAGGGGCTTAGGGCTGGTGCTTCCTCCTCTGGTCTTAGGGCCCGCGGCCCCTGTGGCTGAGGGTGGGGGCTCCGTGTCGGGGCTCCTGCCTTCGGCCACAGCTCGCTGGCGGCGCTCCGCCCCTGTCCTGATCGGCTCGCCGACAGCAGGGCTGGATCCGAGGTGGATGCATCAGCTCTAAGCGAGTAGAGTTGCCCAGCGTCGTATGGCTTGTCAGGAGTGTTGGAGCACTGGCGCGAATGGGATGGGTAAGTAAGGAGGAGGAGGAGGAGGAGGAGGAGGAGGAGGAGGAGGAGGAGGACGAGGAGGACGAGGAGGAGGAGGAGGAGGAGGAGGAGGAGGAGGAGGAGGAGGAGGAGAGGGAGGAGGAGGAGGAGGGAGGAGGAGGAAGAGGAGGAGGAGGAGGAGGCGGCGGAGGGCGATCACGCTTGGTGCTGCTGGGCGATCGCGCCTGCGCCTGCCCCTGCAGCAAGCAGGAAGGTCCTTGAGGTCGTCCGACATCAAAGTCTGCACCTGCCACGAGAGGCCATCCAGCAGAGCACTGTCCATCCACATGGCGAGTACGAAGCGCAGCATACACTCATTACCAGAAGGCAAGCAGTGCCATGGATACCAAAATCTTGCACCACATGCCCTACACATGAATGAACCCAATGAGTAGACCCAAGACTTCCAGCAGGGAGTGTGCAGACCGCACACATGCAAGGGGTGATGCTATGGTGGAGCCGCCCCTTGTTTCTCACGACTTACTGAAAAATACACCCCTCGGAAAAGGGGTCCTCCTCAATTTCTTTGACAGAAGATTCTCTCGCACCGCGGGTCAAGGTCTCCCCCCCTCTCCTTTCTGCCACCCGTGTTTTCCCTCGCTGGCTGAAGATACGTGTCATGTGTAGCCGCCTGTACTATTTCTATTCCTCCTCCTCCTCCTCCGCCTCCTCCCTCCTCATCCCCCTCCTGCAATCCCCTGGGGCAACCCACGGAATCACGCGTCCATGGAGTGAGGGGGTCCCTGCCTCCTGCTTCCTGCTCCCTCCCTCTTACTTACCCGCCACCGTGCCCCCGTGCACGCTCATGCCTGGTAGAATGACAAGTGATGTCTTTTCGGGTTTACGCAATATTCTAGTGGAGGCCAGCCCATCAGCAACCTTCCACAAGAAACCAACCCTGAGACCCCAGGACGTCCGTTTACTCTAGGTGTGGGAACGTCACGCTTTCCATCGCAAAACCATCGAGACCCAAGAAACCCAGGGCACCCTGGAGGCGAGCTGGGTGTTTCTTGGCACGGGTCTCCAATGTAAGGGCCCCCACCTCTACTCGGAGCTCCGCGTGCACCGCCCCCCCGCCCCACATCCCCCTCCCGAAGACGCGACCCCTTGCACGAAGCGACGGGTCCGCGCTTCCGACGCCACGATCTGCTGAAACTACGTATGGATCGGCGCTTACGATGTTATGATTACGTGCGAACCAAAGCTAATGTGTAAACCTAAACTACGGTACCGCGCTCCGGAGACCACGATCCCTCGCAACAAACTCTGGATACGCGCTCCCAAGCTTCCAAGACGAGGCAAGCAACCAGGGTCGCGAAGAAGGCCGAAGATACCTCCGTGGCGGCCCAAGATGTCCCCAATGCGGCCCAGTATGGCCTTGAGGCACTCTAAGAGCCCCCAACGGCCGCCACAAGAGGACCCCCAGTAGGGCCTGAAACGGCTGAACTCATATTATCCTCAGGTTGTTCAACATTTGGGCGTTTGCGTATCTCTGGGTTTCCTGCAGCTCCAAGCGGCCCTGGGGACCTCCAAGATGGCCCTAGCAATAGAGGCCCTAAATAGCCCACTAAATCCTCCAAAATGGCCTCAAGACAGCCCGTGAGACAACCCAGACGGCCCAGGATGGCCCCAAGAGAGCTCCATGCTTGCCCAAGAGTGCCTGGGGAGACCAAGATGGCCTTGGTGAGCCCCACGACGGCAAAAGACGACCTAAAGAAAGCGCCACGACGGCCGCAAAGGACCCCAGACGACCAAGAGGGCCCCAGTACGGCTCAAGAGAGCCCCAAAACGGCCCAAGTGATCCCCCAAACTGCACCACAGGAGCCCAAGAAAGGACGGAAGAAATGATAGCAGAAGACGAAGACGAAAAGATAACCCCCCATACGAGACGGAAGAGTGCGTCACATGCTGCAACTATCCCACGCCCCGGGGCACGATGTGTCACACGTTGCGGCCTCACGTATACCCCCGAACAGTCGCCACCCAAGGCTGGGCTGGCACGGTGGCGGGACGCGACGGAGGCAGCTGCAAAAGTCCCCCGACGTGGTCGTCGTCGTCGTCGTCGTCGTCGTGGTCCTCGTCGTCGTCGTCGTCGTCGTCGTCATCGTCCTGCCTGAGACTTCGCCCCCAGATGCCAATGCTCAGCGACGTGCTGTCGCACCGCCAGACGCGTCCGTAGGCCGACCGGGCTGGGCGTTTCCCTCCAAACTTCCCTGCGCTTTCTTGTCCCTAATCAGCTAAGGCCTCCAACTGGTACAAGGATGGCGGTCCCGTGATTTCCAAAATGCGGTACAGTCAACCCGTACAGTAGTGATGCACGATCGGAATCCAAGGGCCTTGGAAGCCATGTCGACACTTTGCGAGCGGGGCGCGGCCAGCGAAAGCGGCCCAGGATGGGCCGAAGAGGAAGGATGCAAGGGTAATCTTGGAAAGCTGCTCATCCTTACTATGCGGGTTGACTGTAGTCGCCTTAGCGCCGCAAACGCTTGTGTTCAAAATTCTCGTTGCAAGGACGGGGGACCGGCGGTTTCCAACATGCTGCTCTCGCCTGAACGCCGCACACATTCGTTTCATACGCTTCAACCTTTACAACCAATTGGCCGGTTCCATTCCAATCTGCGGCTCTCGCAAGAGGCTTCCCAAGACTCGGTGTCCCGATGTAAAGACTCGTTGACCCGACGGCTCCCACTTTGCAACAAGTACAAGAATGGAGGCTAAGTCGTGTTCAAGATGTGGGTCTCGCTTGAAAGGTTCTCAAACTCTGTGGCCCGAAATTCCCCAGTGCGTAACACTTACACGGATGGAGGGCGGCTCCTTGTCAAAATGGAGACCTCGCCGGAGAGGTCCGCAGATTGCATGTCCAGAACTTCGAGCTTCTGCAACCCTTGCTCGCATGGATGGCAGACCCTTTTCAACACAGTGCTATCGCGGGACATGTCCTTGAACTTCGTCATCCTACCCCCGTGTTTGAGGGGCAAGGATAAGGGGGGGACTGGCATAGGGCGGACGCATCGACCTGGCATCGGCGATACACCGCCGATAGATCAACGATAGGACCCTGAGAGTGAATCCGCACCTTCCTGTGCAGGTTGGGGCTATTGGGCCCCTATCGGCGATCAGTGGGCGATTGGGGGTCGATGCATCCCCCCCTAGGCCCACCCCCCCCTGTTGTTGCCACCCCGCGTTTCTGGCCATCGCTCGGACGTCCATTCCCTGTGCTTTTTTCGGTTTCGTGCGTGGCTTTTTCGCAGGATGATCCAGGATGCTCCTTCGTGATCCCCGCCGGGAAAAAGTGCACACGTCCCAGCCTCCCTCCCTCCCTCCCTCCCTCTCTCCCTCCCTCCCCTCCTCCCTCTCCCTCCTCCTCCTCCTCCTCCTTCTCCTCCTCCTCCTCCTTCTCCTCCTCCCGATACCGAGGCTTCTGGCTGGAAGGGCGGAGGGTGGACCCTCTCCAAAGCGGTGCCTCGCCTGCGTGGCAGGACGACCGGGCGCTCGCCGCCGTTCGGGGGGGGCGGGGGGCGCTGCCCGCGGGGGGCAGGAACACTTGCACTCGCCATCGCTCGGACGTCCATTCCCCGTGCATTGTTCGATTTCGTGCGTGTTTTTTGGCTCGTCGGTCCAGGATGCTCCTCGATGGCCCTCGCCGAGGAAAAAATGCACACGCCCGAGCGATGCCAGGTTGTATCGGGGGCGCGCAAGCATGGATTAGCGATCCTTCGATTTGGCGCGCGGTCGCCAAATCCATGGATCGGGGGAGGTGCTCTCCCCCAAATGCGGCCGGCGCCGCCTCGCTCGGCGGCGGAACCCCGCGATTTCCCATGGAAACGGAACCCGTCACTAATCCATGCCCCCTTAATCCATGTTTGCGATCGCCTGATTGTAGCGACGAGGAGGGGACGTGGGACGTGAAGGTGTACAGCAACATAGCTGGCGCATCCTGGAGAGGCCTTCCCCCGGGGGGTGCGGCGGGCGGACATGGGGATCCGATCGCGCGTCGATCATACCGCAGCCGGGGTCTCAGGCTATCTCAGGCTTTATCCTCCCGAGGCGAACGGGGAGGCAGGAAGGAGGAACGAGGACGCGAGAGAGGGGGCAGAAGAGATGACGAGAGTGGAGGGGAGGAGGAGGAACGAAAAGAGAGGAGGGAAGGAGAGGAGGGATGGGGGAGGAGCGGGGGAAGATGGGGATGAGGAGGAGCAGCAGCAGTTGCGGGAGGGGAGGTTTTCAGGAGGAGGGACGAGAAAGAGGAGGGGCTCTTTTCCACTTCTCCCGCACCTCCTCCCCCTCCCCCTCCCGTCCTCCTCCTCCCCCTCCCACTCCTCCTCCTCCTGCTCCCACCCCTCCTCCTCCACCTTCAGCTGGGCTGAGTTGGGCTAGCATTGGCTGGTCCAGGGCTGCAAATCGACTGCGTCAACGGCCTGGGGACATCGTCGCTAACCGCTGGCAACTTTGGCGGACGGGGGCACCGTCACTGGCGTCAGCGAGGCCCGCGACTGATTGCGGTGCAGCTCTTCCTTCGGACACAGGCAGAGAAGGAGGAGGCACGGGAGAGGGATGGCGAGAGAGGGAGTTGTTTTTTTTTCCGCAGTTTAGGCACTCGTGCTACGAGATGGAGGGGAGGGCGGTGCGCATGGGATGGAGGGAGGAGGCGGAGGATGGAGGCCAAACGAGAACAGCAGAATATGATGTATTTACGAAGAGGTACAGTCGGACCAAGGCCAGAAAAACATCCCTCAAGAACATGATACCCTCCGTCGGCCAAAACCATCAGAACATCCAAGGGTACCCTCCCCAGGATGCGCAAGAAAATCCAACAAGCACGAGGAGCACTAGGGTACCCTCCCCGAACCGACCTGGATCTGATACCTCGGTCCGACTGTAGCATGGTCGAGAGCTACCACGCCAGGACCCGCATCTAGGACCCACCACATTGCAAATCCTTGTCCGAGTGGCATCTGCGAGCCACCTGCCCAGACGCAGTCGAAGACCCGCATGCGGACCAAGTAGTCGGAAGGAGCAGGAGGAGTCCACTCCAGCACAATTCGCCGGCCCAACGGGCCAGAGGCGTGCTAAGATCTCCGGTAACTGGTTAACAATTTTCTAGTTCGCGCGCGCGGGGCGGCCCCTGGGGGTCCCCGGACGAAAAGTACCCCGACCAGGTCCCGGCCGGTCCCCGGCCGGGTCCCGGCCGGGTCCCCGGCCGGGTCCCGGCCGGGTCCCCCCGAGCGCTCCATGAGCGCACCAACAGGGCTCCGAGACGTCCCCGAGAGCCCCAAGAAAGGCCAAGAGGCCCCCAAGAGGCCCCCAAGATGGTACACGAGGGGTCCGACATGCCACAAGATCGCTCCAAGACGCCCAAGATAGCCCCCAGACGCCCCAAGAGGCCTCCAAGAGCACTCCCAATAGGGCCCCCGGAGGCAAAAATCATTGTTTTTCCATAGGTTTTTGAGAGATTTTGGAGCTTCCACCTTTTCGGCTTCCCGACGCCCCAAGACGGCCCAAGAGGCCCCCAAGATCGCCCCAAGAGGGCCCAAGAGGCACCCAAGAGGGCCCCAAGATGGCCCAAGAGGGCTCGAAGACGGCCCAAGAAGCCTCCAAAACGGTCCAAGAGGGCCCCAAGAACGCCCCCAAAGGGGCCCCAGAGAGGGAACACGAAACAACATTTCGAGCCCTCGGCCCTAAGAAGCCCCTACGAGGCCTTTAAGAGGCCCCAAGAGGCCCCCACGGGGCCCTCAGGAGGCCCCCCAAGAGTCCCCCAAATGCCCCCCCGAGCGCCCCAGGAGTCCCCCAAGCGGCCCCAGGAACACCCAAAGCGCCGCATTGACACCAGGCCCTCGGGCAAACGGCAGACATGAGACTGTATGGGCCGGCGGAATGAGCGAAGCGATTAAATAAACATATGAGAGCGTGCCCACAGCGCCGGAGCAAAGGGGGGGGTCCCCCCTTAGCTACCCCCCCCTCCCTTCCACCTCCCCTTCTGAAGCTCCCTCCCCTATCCTCCTTTTTCGCCTCCCCCCTGAAGCTCCCCCCCCCCCATTTCGCCACTCCGAAGCTACCCCCCTCCCTCCCTTTACAAATGGAGGGAGTCTTAGCTACCCCCCCCCCTCCCCTTGACCCCCCTCTGCCTCCCTTGACCCCCCTCTGCCAGAAGCTACCCCCCCCCCCTTCCCCCCTTTGGTTCCAAAGTGAGGGGGGCTTAGCAGCCCCCCCCTTCCCCCCCTTTCGGCACCCGGGAAGCTACCCCTCCCCTCCCCCCTTACGAAAGGGGAGGGGAGCTTAGCTACCCTCCACCCTTCTTTGACCCCCCTCTGCCGGACCCCCCCCCTCTTCCCTCCATTCTTCTCCCCCCTGCCGGAAGCTCCCCTCCCCTCCCCCCCTTTCCAAAAGGGGATGGGCGGCTTAGCTACCACCCCCCTCCCTTGAACTCCCCCTGCCGAACGATCCTCCCCCGTCGCCATCGTCGTTGCCGTCGCCGTCGCTTGACGTCTTCGTACGACGCCGTCGTCGTCCTCGTCGTCGTCGCCGCCGTCGCCGTCATTGTCGCCGTCTTCGTATGACCTCGTCGTGGTCGTCACGACGAGGACGATGTCATACGAAGACGGCGACGGACGACGGAAGACGCACGACCGACGACCGACAACGACCCAGGGTCAGAGGAAGCGAAGCAAGGTCCGAGAAAACGAGACCACGACCCAGGGGCCGAGAAACGAGAAAACAAGACACCGAACCAGCGCCCGGGAAAACGAGACTATTACCCAAAACCGAGAAACCGAGAAAACAAACCAGCGTCCGAGAAAACGAGACCACGACCCAGGGGCCGAGAAAACGAGGAAAAAAGAAACGAACCAGGAACAGAGAAAACAAAACCACAATCCAGGGGCCGAGAAACCAACACGAGAAACCGAACCAGGGTCAGAGAGAACGGGACCACGAACCAGGAGCCGAGAAAACAAAAAAACGAACCAAGGTCAGAGACAACTAGAAAACGACCCAGGAGCCGAGAAAACGAGAAAACGAGAAAACTAACCATGGTCCGAGGAAACATACCACGACCCAGGGGCCGAGAAAACAAGAAAACGAGACCACGAACCAGGGCCCCAGAAAACGACACAAACACCCAGAAGCCGAGAAAACGAGAAAACGAACATGGGTCCGAGAAAACGAGACCACGACCCAGAGGCCGAGTACACTAGAAAACGAGAAAACGCACCAAAGTCCGAGCAAACGAGACCACGACCCAAGGGCACAGAAAATGCGAAATCGAACCAAGGTCTGAGAAAACACGACCACGACCCAGGGGCCGAGAAAACGAGAAAACGAACCAGGGCCCGAGAAAGCGAGACTACGAACCAGGGGCCGAGAAAACAAGAAAACGAGACAACGAACCAAAGTCAGAGAAAACGAGACCACGACCCAAGGGCCGAGAAAACAAACAACGAGAAAACGAACCGGGCCCCGAGACAACGAGACCGCGACCCAGGGGCCGAGGATACGAGACAACGCGAAAACGACCCACGACCCAGGGGCCGAGAAAACGAGAAAACAAACCAGAGTCCGACGAAACCACGACCCAGGGGCCGAGATCACCAGAAACGCTTGGTTCGAGAAAACGAGACCACGACCCAGGAGCCGAGAAAACGAGGAAACGAGAAAACGAAGCAAGGTCAAAAAAAACGAGACCGCCACCCGGGGGCCGAGACAACGAGAAAACGAGAATACTAACCAGCGTCCGAGAAAACGAGACCACGACCCAGGGTCCGAGAAAACGAGACTACGAACCAGGAGCCAAGAACGCGAGAAAACGAGAACACGAACATGGGTCAGAGAAAACGAGACCACGACCCAGGGGCCGAAAACACGAGAAAACAAGAAAACAAACCAGGGGCCGAGAAAACTAGAGAACGATAAAAGGAATCAGGGCCGGAGAAAACGAGACTACGAACCAGGGTCCGAGAAAGCAAGATAACAAGAAAACAAACCAGAGGTCGACGTTATTCTCCAATGCGTTCGCAAGCGCTGCTGTGCGCACCTGTCTGCAGAAATTCAACAATTTTTTGCCATAACCCTGGAAGGGAGGGGGGGGGGAGCTTCGGAAGCCCCCCCCCTTTGCAAAGCAGAGTTGAGGAGGGTAGCTTGAAGCCTCCCCCCCCAGAGTCCAGACAAAAAAAGAGGGAAGGGTAACTTCCGAAACGCCCCCCCCTTGAAAGAGACACCTTCTGCTCCGGAAAAGAGGGGGAGGGTGGGGATAGGGCCCCCCTCAGCTTAGAAACCCTTACAGAAGGGAGGGGGGGTAGCTTCGGAAGCTCCCCGCCCTTTTGGAAGGGAGGGTGGGGGGTAGCTTGAAGCTTGGGCCCCCCTTTCCTCATTCCCGGCGCTGCGGGCGCGCTCTTTCAAACATATAATGACGATCTGACAGTGCAGTGGCGGATGGCACGCCCGCCAAAACGTGTTGGCAAGATTTTGCTCCAGCCCAAGTTCTGGAGGTGCGTATATCGAAAGCAAGGCGAAGTGACCAGCATTGCAAGCCACGCGCGTCAGCGAGACCGAGGGAAGAAGGGAGCAGGACGGGGAGCACAAGGCAGGCCGAGTCCGTCGGCCTCGCGCGCCGCGGATGTGGTGTGCCTCGGAGTCAGTGGGGCTCTCGGCGACCCAGGTGATGGCACATTCCCTGCGACACGGGTGCAACGACAATGGACGGCCAGGCGACCCAAGAAGCCCCCCGGAAGCCTCTGAAGGCCCTCCTGGAAGCCCCCCCGCCCTCTGGAAGCCCAGGAGGGGGGAGGGGGGGCAGGGGAGAGGGAGAGAGGGGGGTAAGAGGAGAACGCGGTCCTTCGTCCTCTTTGGGATGAGGAGGAGGAAGAGGAGGAGGAGGAGGAGGAAGAGGAGGAGGAGGAGGTGGAGGTGGAGGAGGACGAGGAGGCAGCCCCCAGGAGCAGATGCGTCGAACCAAACCGCCCAGGCCTAATACCCCTGATGCAGGGACGGACCCTCAGCGAGGACACGTAGGAGGAGGACACGTAGGAGGAGGAGGAGGAGGAGGAGGAGGAGGAGGTGGAGGAGGAGGAGGAGGAGGAGGAGGAGGAGGAGGAGGAGGAGGAGGAGGCGACGAGAAGGAGGAGGAGGCGGAGGAGGAGAAGGAGGGAGGAGGAGGAGAAGAGGGATGATGAGATGATGATGATGATGATGAGGATGAGGATGAGGATGATGATGATGATGATTGATGATGATGATGATTGATGATGATGAGGATGAGGATGATGGAGGATGAGGAGGATGAGGAGGATGAGGAGGATGAGGAGGAGGATGAGGATGAGGATGAGGATGATGAGGATGATGAGGATGATGAGGATGATGAGGATGAGGATGATGATGATGATGATGATGATGATGATGATGAGATGATGATGATGATGATGATGATGATGGACGATGACGATGACGATGACGATGATGATGATGATGATGATGATGATGCTGATGATGATGATGATGATGATTAGGAGTAGGAGTAGGAGTAGGAGGAGGAGGAGGAGGAGGAGGAGGAGGAGGGACCCCGTGTTGTTAGGGTTAGGGGGTCTGTTCTCCTCGATGATGTCTGCTTCGTGTTTCTGCCCTCTCGCAGGACGGTGCGGGCTGCTCCTCGAGGGCCCTCGCCGAGGAGCAGCGCAAGCGCCCCCGGACGACGCCGAGCAGGGGGTGGCCTCCCGAGGGGGCCGCGGGCGCACCTCGAGAGGGGCCCAATGCGAGCTCCTCCTCCTCCTCCTCCTCCTCCTCCTCCTCCTCCTGATCGAAAGGCCTCCCACAAGCTCCGCGGGCCTCTGCCAGAAGCCCCCTTGGCACTCTTGGATCGGGGGTTGCCACAGGTCGGGTCGGCGGCGAGCGAGGGAGGGAGGTGAGAGAAGGGGAAGGCCTTCTCAGAAGGCGGCGGGACTTCTCAGAAGCCCTCGCGCCTTCTGAGACGCTTTCGGCGATTTCGGGGAAGGCTTAGAAAAGTTCTCAGACGGCTGCGGGACTTCTAATCCTTCTAAGAATGCTTTCTCCTTCTCACTTCCCCCCCTCTCGCTCGCCGACGAACCGGTGCCCCTAGCCCAGGGTGCCCGCGGGGTTTCGCTCCATCCCCTGGAGCCCCCTGGGGCCGCCCCTGGGCCTCGCGGGGGGAGGTGCTTGGAAGGCCGTGGGGGCCTCCTCGGAAACTCTCGGGGGGCGCCTTGGAGCCGAGGGCAGCACCCTCCAGGAGGCCCGCCCCCATCCCGAGAAGGTGAACGACGGGGGGGGGGCAGCACCCGCCAGGAGGCCCGCCCCCGTCTCATCCCCCCCCCCCGTCCCGAGGAGGGGAACGACGGGGGGGGGGCTGGCCAAACACAGGGGGGGAGGAAACGAAAGGGCGGGAAACACAGCGGGAGATGGGGGGGGCTGGCTCAGGGGGAGAAGCGTCGACCTGCGGTCGGCGACCAAATCGGCGATGGATCGGCGTTGGGCCCTCGATGGCGAAACCACACGCGCCTGGACGCGGCGGGCCATCGGGCCCCAAACGGCGATTACTGGGCGATTGGGGGTCGACGCTTCCCCCCCTGAGCCTTCTCCTCCTCCTCCTCCTCCTCCTCCTCCTCCTCCGCATTCTCCTCCCAAATGTGGCCACTTGCGAGGCGGTGATCTATCCAGATTCGCAGCCTGGAAAACCGACGTCCTGGGACCCCAGTACACCCATATCCACCGTCTGCCGAGGCCCCCGAAGGACCTTCTGAGCAATTTTCTGAGTCTTCGGAAAAGGCTAGGAAAACAAACTTCTCAGAAGGCCGGGGAACGTCCGCCTTCTGAGAAAGCCCGCCCACTCTCACTACCCCCTCGGCGCGCCGACGAGTTTGGTTTTCGAGTCATAATTCGGGTCTCTGGCGGCCGCTCGGGACGATCCAGGCACCCTCGGAACGCTCTCGGCGAGGCGCATCTGTTGGAACGCATCTCGCCGAGAAACAACGAAAACACCAGAAACCCGTGAACCTCGAACCCAAAACTCCCAAGCCTTCCCCCTGGGGCTCGCCGCCGGGAGCAGCGATCGCGCGGGATTGCCCGACCTCCCCACCGCGCAGAGCGACGCACGCCAAGTTCCCCTTCGTACGCCCGAAATGGGTACGGAAAAGTGGGTACACTGCCCGATAACAAGTGTTGCCCCAAACCAACAGCGGCCGCTGCTGGGCAGGCGGTTGTCTGCCTCGAATGGACACAGGCCGCGGAGGCGCGGACAGCGAGCCCTGTTCACCATGATCAGCGTACCAGAAATGGTGTTTTGGAAGGGTTCCGGATTATGAGGGCACCAGTTAGGTTGATTCGCGTTGTTGAAGTCCCAGGGATGGCGTTCTGGCACGATTCAGGATCGTCGAGACGCGACAGTCAGGTTGATCCGTAGCGTTGGAATCCCAAGAACAATGCTTTGGTATGCTTCAGGGGCTTCAAGCGGTTGACTGCCGACGAGGCAGTTTCCTTTGTGGAAATGAACCGTTGTATGGGGCCCATGACGAGGGAGCTTGGAGGGAGGGTTCATTCCAAAATGAACAGCAACTGCTGTTGGGCATTGTGCCAATTTTTCCGTACCCATTTCGTTCGTGCCGATCCCCCCACGCGGCGCCGTCCTGCTCCGGGACGCCTGCGGGCATCTGCTCCAGGCCGCCGGTGGCCTCGGCAGCGGTGTCCCCACCGCGAGAGGGGGCGGCGGGGCGGTGTCCGCGGCCGCGCCGGCAGAGCTCGGTGAGCATGTGCACTTGGGGGGTTTACCCAAGGAACGGTAAATCCGCCGATCCGGCGTGTGAGTTTCTGAGAGCGTGGGCTTGAGCTCTCTCACGCTTCGCTCTGGGGGGGGGTCGGGATCCGGCGAATTATCCACGCAATTCACTGAACGCTCCAGCGCGGGGGGGGCGTGTGAGTTTCTGAGAGCGTGGGCTTGAGCTCGCTCAACCTTCGCTCTGCCGAGGGGGGGAGACCTCATTTCCGACCTAATTTCCGACCTAATTCAGTGCTTCGCCCCACCCCCCCTCCAGAGCGGACCTGCAGAGCGC